CATGATCAGAAATTAATTTTCTTGTGATCTCAACATTTAAGTTGTTTTCTCAAGATATCATTTTTTAGTTGAAGTTTTTATTAGTATTATTATTATTTGTTCTGGAAGCCAGTTCTTTCTGTATGTTTATTTAATACATGTAATATATTGCTGCATTGTTGGGCACAGTGTTGCCAACTTAGAAATTTTGTTGCTAAATTTAGCAACTTTTCAGACTACCCTAGCAACTTTTTCTTCCAAAAGCACCTAGCAACAAATTTAGCAATTTTAAAAAATTGATTTGGCAACCTTTAGCAACTTTTGATAAGTGACTCAGACAATAAAAAGGCACACATTTTCCATCCAAATGACACAAAAAGAGGAAGCCACAGATGCCTAGCAGTACACACATCACGTGAATCGAGTTAGCTGCTATTTGCAATTGTTCAATTTAATAATAACAATAATAATTGAATAATTGTTAATTTATGATGCACTTTGTTAGTAGCTTGTACCTGCGATTGTTGATCAGTTAGTATACTGTAAGAAAAATGGAAAATCTTTCAGGATATTATTCATCATCCATTGTAACCCGAAAACACAATGCATAATTTAAAATGCAGGTAAAAAACCATTACGGAAAATTCTTTCATATTAACATAGATTGTGCCTTATTTTTACAGACTTTTCTTAGAGTGTAGCATACTAACTAACTACTAATACACTGCTTAAAGCACATTAGCTGAGAATGTGTAGAATTACTAGTTTACTAGCTATTAAAAAAATGTAAATTGAAATTATTCAAAAATGTGTACGTTTTCAATAATTCAATGTATTTAAAAATACAGTTATTTATATTTTAATATTATATCATGCATATTATTTTACAAACAAATCTAAATGAACATATAAAATATATTTTTTGCTGAGATTTGATGATGTGACAATTTTGCGTCGTGATTACGCAATGACATCACAACGTCATTTAGCAACTTTTAGCAACAAATCCACCATCCGTTAGCAACTTTCTCTGAAAATTAGTTGGCAACACTGGTTGGGCATTCTTGTGTAGCTCACTCAAGCTGAAATTGCTGTATGTCCGTCAGTAATAGACCTCTTCCAAATAATTGTCTGACGCTTTGAGAAGAAGGCAACTAATCTATCACGATAGACACTATAGTGACTCTAAACATGACTAGTTTCATTGCATTGATATTTGACAGATGTCAATTAAATGGTTTGTGGCTAACCACAGAAATGTCGAGCAGTGTGCAGTGTTTCTGCATATGTGAACCAAGGACTTTTGAACTTATTTTGCCTTTTGACTGCTGAATTTGCACATAACTTAGTTTGCTTCATGGGGTAGATGCATTCTAGTCAAATTAGCCAAATTAGCTCCACTGGCAAGTCCCTACAGTCCTGAGGTATGCTATCACTCACTGACTCCACTCACAGCTTCAGAAAGAGGTTCCTAAGACTATCTGAAGTATAATGCGTTGCTGGGAATGGCATGCATTGTGTTTCTGCTCTTATGTGCATGTGTGTGTTTCTATAGAAGAGTTCTGGAATCAGGTCTGCTCTACACAATGCACATCACATCTGGAGTGGATTTGGAGAACAGAACAGAAAGATGGATAATAGCTGGCTCTACTTCCCAATCAAAGCTACACACACACACACACACACACACACACACACAACATTATGACTCCAGATTGTTCTGCAGGCAAATATGTGTGCTGCTGAGGGCTGAAGGCTTGTCATTCATAAGAGCAGATAAGGTCATAAAGGTAGATAAGAAGATAGACAAAGCAAGAAAATGAAAAGAGTTCAGATATCAGACTGAGAGGAAGTGACAAAGCAAAGATTATTTAGCTTCACTCTGGTCTCTATATGTTGAGCAGAACCATCAAATATTGTTTTATTTAGTATGGAATGAAAAAAAGAAGCCATTTTAGACTGATTTAGACATGTTAAGTCAAGCCATTGAATGCGTTAATATAATGAAAAGATTCTAAACGTGAATGGCAGAATCCATGGTCTGATTATCAGAATTATCAGAGCGCTTAATAGAATTGCACTATAATCATAGTTGAAGAAAAATATCAGATATTACAAATGGAAGTTAGAAAATAAGATTGTGGTGAAGACATTTAGTTTGGTCTGGAGTCTCTGAACCCACACTAGAGGAATTCTCCCATGTGAAACAACAATGGAACACAGAAAGCTTTGAAAGAAAAATGAGGAGATAAGGAAGATGACGAAGTGACTGCAAGTGGGTAGTTTGGGGTGTTTCATAAATCCTGTCTGTCCAGTCTCCTGTGAGTGTACTAAACTCAGCATCTCTGAGTTATTTTTGTCCAATGTGTTATGTTAATTACTGCATAATTCTAGAATATGCTTAAGTCATCTTTTCGCGCTATGTCATGTGCACAAACGGTGTGACGTAAATTTCCATTGGGCATCCTGTTATTGTCAATGTGTGAGCACACTAAGAGCAGAACTTTTTTTTGTTACAGAGACAGGTCAATTATTATGAGCTATTAATAGGATGCAGTATGTAGAAACAGTATTCACTGACTGCATAAGTCACAGGATTGTGTTTAGGAGTCTGAAAGAACAAATGAAATCTCTATAGAAATATATTGAAAAGAACAAGGCTAAGATCCTCCCAAAGGCAGGCAGACAAGCAAGCACTTGGTCAGCTATTGTTAGAGCTGAATGCGTGAATTTGTGTCAATCAAAAAGAAAGTATTGTCAACTTTTTAAAAAGTTGAATATGTACTAATAAATATGATCTGTAAAAGAGTGTAATGCCATTATTAAGACCTTGTAATGTTTACTCAAAATCTCAACAGTGGAGCTTCCAGTGACTTCTCTTTGGTGACATATGCAGGACTTCTCCAATTATTTATTCCACTTAAACCAACCCCTGCTATCTCACGTTCATCTGCCTCCACTTTTGAGTGCATTGCCCGCATCTCAAAATCCAATCAACAACCAATAAGAACCAAGTCCCCGCCCAACATTTTTTTTATTTGGCTATAGTCCGTTACACTTGGATGTACGTCACAGTATGGAATAAACAAGCTGTTGCTATTTGCATTTTATCACATTTTTCAATTACATTTGTCATATAAAAAGAGAATATATAGTGTGTTGGATTGGTCCAGACGCTACATTACTAAAAAAGGATTGAAAATGCATCTCTGTTTTCATATGTTATGACAAATGATGTTTCATTAACAAGGTTCTGGAGGAGCACAGATAATCATTCAGTCTGGCCCAGCTGGAGCTTGTGAGCTAATCACCTTAAAGGGCTCATATGATGCGATTTCAAGTTTTTCTTTCTCTTTGGAGTGTTACAAGATGTTCATGAATAGATAAGACCCCTAAAGTTGCAAAGACTAAAGTCTCAAACCCAAAGAGATATTCTTTATAAAAGTTAAAGGGTTAGTTCACCCAAAAATGAAAATTCTGTCATTAATTACTCGCCCTCGGGTTGTTCCAAACCTGTAAGGCCTTCGTTCATCTTCGGAACACAATTTAAGATATTTTTGATGAAATCTGAGGGCTCTCTGACCAATAGACAGCAAGGTAACTACCACGTTCAAGGTCCCGAAAAGTACCAAGATGATTGACAAAGTAGTCCGTATGACATCAGTGGTTCAACTGTAAAGTTACGAAGCTACGAGAATACTTTTGCGCAAAGAAAACAAAAATAATGACTTTATTCCACATTTTCGTCTCTACTGCGTCACTTGTGGATGCACGTTCACGACAGTACCATGACGTGAGCGTGTGGCGGCGCTGGCCCAGATCCGGCATGATGACGTCTTTACACTGGATCGGAGTCAGCGCCGCCACACACTCGCGTCATGGTACTGTCGTGAACGCGCATCCACTAGTGACGCAGTAGAGATGAAGGTTCCGAAGATGAACGAAGGTCTTACGGGTCCCACTGGATGCAACAAATGCCTCGTTTATAATGGGTTTTATTGGTTTTGTCTCGCAGGGACACGGCATCACAGTATGGTAGGGGCATAAAATTTATTTCACATGCTTGAGGTATTCGGCCAATCACAATGCACTGGATAGCTGGCCAATCAGAGCACACCTCGCATTTCAGAACAATGAGCTTTGTTTTAAAAAGTCGGGGCATAGAGGAGAAACAATAATGTACAGTATGTGGAAAATAATGTAGTTTTTTTACCTTAAACCGCATAAACACATTTAATTACACCAAATACACAAAATAATGTTCTTTTTTAGCAACGTCATATGACCCCTTTAACAAGCACAATATGTATATATACAGCCAATTTATCTCTGTTCCATAGGCAAATGGTGGTCACACCAGATACTGACTGGTTTTCGGACCAGTAAAACTGGCCTTTTATTGTGGCCAGCCTAAGGCACACCTGTGCAATAATCATGCTGTCTAATCAGCATCTTGATATGCCACACCTGTGAGGTGGATGAATTATCTCGGCAAAGGAGAGTGATAATTCTCCTTTGAATAATTCTCCTGTGTTAGTGAGCAAAGTGCTCACTAACACAGATTTAGACAGATTTGTGAACAATATTTGAGAGAAATAGGCCTTTTGTGTACATAGAAAAAGTCTTAGATCTTTGAGTTCAGCTCATGACAAATGGGGGCAAAAACAAAAGTGTGCGTTTATAATTTTGTTCAGTGTAGATTAAGAGTGAGGTGTTGGGGTGGAGGCTGTATGCCGGAAAACTGTCATGGAACAGAGATAAATTGGCTGTATGGGGGGGAGGTTCTCCGGGTTCCGGCTCTATCCCGAGCTCGGAGCCCTCCCTCTTGGACAACACGCCAAATATGCTACTAATTGCTCAATCATATTATATGTTAGTGCGAACTCGTGAAACAGTTATCTGTGTTTTTTGAGTATGTGCGATGTGTATGAGAGATTGGAGGTTTGGATAGGGAGACATTCACATAGTAATGGTTTATGCCAGTGTGGAGGGTGTGATAACCTCAGATTATGAGTCACCGCGAGTGTGTGCTGACAGCGGCACGTGTGTGTGATGCGCTACAGACTCCCTCCGCTGTCCTGCTGGAATCTTCAGCAAACACGGAAGAAGCGGTAAACGCCAAATAATGGCCTGGATAGTAATTGTAGATGTCAACGGCGATCCAGATCCATGGAGTCCAGTCCTGTGTGCTCGGTTTCAGCAGTGATGTGAGGTGGGCTTAATGCTACTGGATCAGCAAATACTCTCTGTATAGGTATGCGGTATCAAGTGTTAGGGTTATTTTTATACTTCTGTCAGTTCTGCAGGTTTTCGTGTGGAAGGAAGTAGGCTATATATGACCGAGCATAATTGGTATTGAATCATTTTGACCTGAAAGACCTGCGCATAGATGCATTTAGGATAGGAGTTTGATCGGACTGACATCTCAAAGGTAGGCGTAATATAACATTTTCGTGTGGAGTTTAAATAAATTGCATGCAGGTTAAATACAAAATGTTCAGTAATATGTAGGAGGGTTTTTACGCAGTTACGCGTAATTTTTCTCTTCAGATCAGTTATATTTTTGTAATGCAAATATGATCGTTTAAAACATGATAACTCTGATAAGCTCTTTTGAACATGCAGTATGTGTCCGCCAGTGCTAATGTAATATGGGGTGTTGTGTTGCTCGTGTGGCCAAATGAGCGCAGGGTGGTGCGCGCAAACTGCCATGACATTGGGCTGCTGCCATGTGAGATGTACGGACTACGGAGTTACACGACTCTGCTTCAGTCACAAAAGTATCGTCTCCTTGTTTAAAAGATGAATGTGTATCTGTAAATGAGTATAATGACGTGAAAAACGTGCCGGGGTGGTATGTTGTATAGCTTTGGAGCTTGAAAGGGTGCACGCTCGCACACAGCTTTAAACAGAAGTAATGACAGGTTGACCCACTGCCTCCACAACAGCTGCATTTTATTTCATTTCCTGAGCTTGATTTTTTTTTTTTAGTTCGAGATGGCAAAAAGATTGCAATTCAAATTTGAATTAAGTGCAGTGGAATTCAAATTAATTGAAATTATTATTGTTGCAAATGTAATTTTGATCTAGAAAAATAAAGTTTGTCAAGACCAATTTGGAATGTTTTCATGACAAAAGCCTTTTGAAAGTTTCAAAAAGTTTTGAAATGTCTTTGGAGTTTGAATTTAAAATTGAAGTTTGGCTAATAAGCTTTGCGATCCGAGAAGTAGAAACAACAGAAACATTTTTGATTAGAATTATATAGAAAAAAGTAAGTGTTTGTTTATTTTGTTTGTTTTTAGTTGTTTAATATTTGCTTTAATTTGCTTTAAATCTATAGAAGATGGGATGACATCCTTGGCATAGCATTAAGGAAACATAAAAGAAGCGTAATGGTAATCACTCGTGACCTGTAAGCTAACCATATAATGGCTCTTTTGTTATCTCTTTCATAATTTTATCTGCGATCCCATAGAAGTGCTTGTGTAGTTCCATGAAATGAATGAAAATTGTTCATGAGTTAACTTATAAAACAGCTATTTTTGGATATCAGACTCTATAATTATAGCACATTCAGTGCTCATTCTTCTGTTTGATTATAAAAAATATGTGTTAGTCTCTGAGATCTGGATAAAGATCATACTGTTGGTGTTTTGATGGTTGACTGTCAGGTTTGACAGTAACTCTCTCTGTTAAACGAACCAAAAGCTGCTGTGTTTTTGTGTCAGTTTGTTCTCTGCATTGTCTACCAAACAGAGCAGTCTGTTGAGGGCTTGTCTGAGCACAGCGCCCCATTTACGCTTTCCAGCAACATTGTTCACTTCTGCTCTGAAACTGATAAATAACCTCAGGCATTCAGAGGAGCGGCATAGTTCATTTCCACATTGTGAAATACTTTAAAGTTGACGTATCATGAAAATCTGACTTTTCCAGGTTTTAAGTGCTATAATCAGGTCCCGGGTGCATCTACCAACCAAGGAAACGTGAAAAAGATGAACCCAATCACTTTCAGTAAGCCTTTTTCTGCAAGCGTCTGAGAAAACGAGCGCGTCTGATTTCGCTCCCTTGGTGACGTGGCAAAGGGATCTCATTATAATATTACCGCCCCTTAATCTGTCAGTTTCCACCCACAGCGCCATCATTTTGATTTCGCAAGCCACAGTGGTGTATCAGCTCTAATGCCATGGCATGCTGTGACAGCAGTTTTCTGTCCGTGTGCTTCGGATGTGTGCGCTCAGAAAACCTTATATCTGAAGCTTAGACTCATATGGTTTAAAACGCATGATATCAGCACGATAAACATGATAATCAGAACCAAAACAGAGGTTTTTAGCAGATACAAGCTATAAAGGTGCAGCTCTATTCTGGAAAAGGGGGCGGAGAGCAGCAGCTCATTTGCATTTAAAGACACAGGCCCGAAAAACAGCTTGTTTCTGCTTCCACTCAAAATAGGCATTTTTTTAGGCAAGTTATATAATAAATGATCTGTGGAGTATTTTGAACTGAAACTTCACAGATACATTCTGAGGACACCAGAGACTTATATTACATATTGTAAAAAGGGGCATAATGTGTCACATTTAATTTCAATGATGGTACACACATAGGCAGAAATCCCGGGGGTGTCGGGAGGGACAGGACCCTCCCTATCTGAGGGTTGTCCCCCCTAAAAATATGATTAAAAACCATGCTGTGTGTTGTAAATAACAATGTTTTATACTTTAAATAATAGTGTAAGTAGTAACACAAACTTAAATGGGGCGAAAATGCATTTTAAGTTTATAAATATTCTGAGTTCCCCCTCCATTACCTCACAGTGCTTTGGTCCAAATGCCTGCTTTCCTCTTTTTCATATAGGCAGAAATCCCGGGGGTGTCGGGAGGGACAGGACCCTCCCTATCTGAGGGTTGTCCCCCCTAAAAATATGATTAAAAACCATGCTGTGTGTTGTAAATAACAATGTTTTATACTTTAAATAATAGTGTAAGTAGTAAAATAGCACAAATGCAAACAGGGCAAAAATGTGTTTTTAAGTTAGTAAAGATTCATTTTTCCCCCTCCCTTACCTCACAGTGCTTTGGTCCAAATGCCTGCTTTCCTCTTTTTCATCACCTACACACACACGAGTCCAGTGAGAGAGAACTAAGTCAATAGTTGTGGATCTCCAGTAAGTAAGGCTGTCAAGGCTATTTTATTCACTTATTATTTCCTCTTTAATACAGATGATGCCAATGTATTTTCCGACAAGTCCGCTATGTTAGCAATAATAACGTTACCTGCTTGACAGAAAGGTTTGCCAGGTTTTCACAACAAAATCCGCCCAATTGCTACTCAAAACTAGCCAAAACCAACCACGTTTCGAGGGGGGTCCCTTGGTAAAAATCACGTTCCGCAGGCTAAAAAACACGCTATTGGGGTCGCTTCAACCCGTGTACATGAAAAACAACCCGCAGCAACAGTGTTAAAGTAGCCCAATTCCACGGGGGAAACCGCGGACTTGGCAACACTGTGACGGATACAACGGACACGAGCGCTGTCTCGGCACGACCACAACAGCTTGAAGTTGTCTAATTTGGCACGGTCTCCCTGCTGCACTAATAGTAGTAAGGCTTTCCTCTGTGTATAAATATCCTTACAAGTACAATTTTAGCTGTATTATTTGTGTCCCCTTCAAAAATTGCTCTTGAGAAATTTTAATGTTTATTGTCCCCCACAACTGTTAGATTAAATTTATGCCCCTGGGTACACATATTCTCCAGACTTAGAGTTCCACTGAATTGTTTAATATCTATGATTAGACTGTTATAAACACAGAGATATCGGAATACCATAAGTACCATAAGAAAAACCATTCACACTTCTTGACACTCCTCTGCGAGTCTGAACAGGACTCACCCCATTCCTTCTCTGGAAAAACGGTTATTCAATTGTGGTTTGATTAAAGCCTTTCTGACATGCAAAGTTGTTATCCAAGAAACTAATGCTGACCCACTTTTGTTAAGTGCGCTATTCACTCTAACCTTATATGTGACCAAAATGCAATAAATCCATTGAATCAATATAAAAGTTGTTTTTCATATTGAAACTGTTAAAAATACACAACATAGTAAGTTGATCCACATATGACAGCCTCTGAACTTGGTCAATACTAATCGTATATGCAGGCACTGGACTAAAAATGCATTCAATCAGTCATCACTCCCAAAAAGAATTCAACGGGTCATCTTGTTAATGCTATAAATTAATTACAACAATAAAAGAAAATTTCATCATGAACATACATGAACAACAATATCACATTAAACCACAGAAATTCCAAAATGACATTTCTCTTACATTCAACTTCCAAAAGTGCATTCATCTTTGCCATGTTACATTCATTTAGTTGACTAATGCTATACGCTGTATAAACAAAACCATAAATGGCATAAATAAAAACACTTACACTGACAAGCTACTCAATATCGCGACAAAATACAAAATAGATGAGGAAAACTAGGATGCCGGGTGTATTCAAAGCGCCGCCATTACTGTCTAGAGTGCGTGGAGTGGTGCGCTGTGATTGGTTGTTACCGTTTACAGTGCATGGAATGGTGCGCTGTGATTGGTTGAGCGGATATATCGCAATCTGCAGAAAAGGGAGACTGGCGTTTGTTGCGGTTTGGAAAAAAAGGGAGAAAACATGACAGAATAACTCGGCGGATATCGCATTTTGCTTAAAATAAAAAATTGACTTTTCAATACCGACCAGATACAATAATGATTTGGGCGGAAACTAAATTTTTTTTTAAAAATGGCGTTTATCGTGTTTTGGAACCAAACTCTTCATTTGTAGCAATAGCCAAAAATACATTGTATGGGTCAAAATTATTGATTTTTCTTTTATGCCAAAATCATTAGGATATTAAGTAAAGATCATGTTCTATGAAGATATTTTGTAAATTTCCTACTGCAAATATATTGAAACTTTTTTGATTAGTAATATGCATTGCTAAGAACTTCATTTGGACAACTTTAAAGGTGATTTTCTCAATATTTAGTTTTTTTTTGCACCCTCAGATTCCAGATTTTCAAATAGTTGTATCTCGGCCAAATATTGTCCTATCCTAACAAACCATACATCAATGGTTTATTTACATCAAAGCTTATTTATTCAGCTTTCAGATGATGTATAAATCTCAATTTCGAAAAATGTACCCTTATGGCTGGTTTTGTGGTCCAGGGTCACATATAATAAAGATGATGCTGCTGTATGTAACCGATTTGTAGAGTATTAATTTTATAATGAAGTTAGATCTTTGTGTATTTTAAGTGCTGACTGATCTGGCTATTTCATTCTAAATTTAAGTTGAAATGTAAGACATTATCCTGACAAAATCATTTATTTCACTTGTAGCTCATATGAAAATAAATGACTTGAGTGAAAATAATCTCACCTAAAAATTAAATGTAAATTTAAAACAAAACATGCAGGTTGCAGTGCAGTCTTATTAACCACTCTTACAGCTTTTCCACTCGGGCCGGAGCCGGAGTCCAATTGGTAACCAGGCTGAACTTTTCCACTCAAAAAATTCTGTGCCGGTGCCCAGATCCTTTTTCTGAACTAGCCCTGAAACTTACTGGTCTCAAACAAGGGAACCTATGACATCAGTAGGAGTTTCCACTACAGACTGCAGTTTGAAAGGCACCATTTTTAAAATCACAACAGTTTTAAAATGAACAACAACAGTTAAATATGTCCGTTCAGCAGTGGTCAGCAAAAGAGACCAACGCAAGAGATAGCAGGTGATTCCGGTCACATGTTGGTGAAGTAGAGGGTTCTGCTCCCTGCCAGTGGAAACGCAAGCTTGGTTCTGAACGTGTGCCACTCTGGCACTAACCCCAGTGGAAAAGCGGTATCAGTCTGTTGGTTCAGTCAGGCTAGAACTGATGTGCTAATTGTTCTCTGACTCTGTTTATCTATGGTTCATCATTATGTTGCTCAGTTTGGTGAGTCAGCGCACTGGCTTCTGTGAAGCATGTACATGTGTACTGGCATCTGTGCGTTTGCCATGCACACTCAGATATAGGGTATCTCATGATAAAGACAGGCCTGTCTCCACCTCCGTTTCCAAGTTCCTCTTGTGCTAGAAAAAATGCACATTTTGAACAAAAATGTGTAAATAAAAACTAGCATTTTGTCTTTATTAATTCTGTGTATATGTTTAGATTTTAGTTTACATTGTGCATTGTTGAAATTACTTGTTACCATAATGTTTTCCCTTAAAGGGATACTTCACTTCAAGTCTTGTCCTTACATACTCATGTTCATGTCATTCCAAACCTGTGGGACTTTCTTTTTTCTGCAGAAAACATAAGAAGATATTTTGAAGAACATTTGTGACCCTGGAGCACAAAACCAGTCTTAAGTCTCTGGGGTATATTTGTAGCAATAGCCAAAAATACATTGTATGGGTCAAAATTATTGAATTTTCCATGAAGATATTTTGTAAATTTCCTACTGTAAATATATTAAAACTTAATTTTTGATTAGTAATATGCATTGCTAAGAACTTCATTTGGACAACTTTAAAGGCGATTTTCTCAGTATTTAGATTTTTTTGCAACCTCAGATTCCAGATTTTCAAATAGTTGTATCTCGGTCAAATATTGTCCTATCCTAACAATCCATACATCAATGGGTTATTTACATCAAAGCTTATTTATTAAGCTTTCAGATGATGTATAAATCTCAATTTCGAAAAATGGACCCTTATGACTGGTTTTGTGGTCCAGGGTTACATTTAGGATCAAAAAACATGGGTGACCATTGACTTACAATGTATGAACAAAATAAACATCGAGACATTTCTCAAAATATGTTCTTTTAAGTTCTATAGAAGAAAGTATGTTAAAAACATGAGGCTGAATAAATGATGACAGAATTTTCATTTTTGGGTGGAACTATCCCTTTAACAATGTAAATAAATTTATAGTACTCAATTATATGATCAAACATTTGTCATAATGGCATCTTTTTAAGAAGTAAACTCTCCAAGTTTCCTCTTTTTTATCACTATTTTTTAATCTGAAAATGTCAACCGTTACCATGATTTTGTATAAACATAGCTATTTATTACCATTTAGAAACCTTGCTTGTCTAGAACATATAAAATCTTACAAAATCTTAAAATTTTATATGTACTTTATAAATCACATGATCAAACTGGAATAGGCATGTTTCATTGACCTACATACAATGTTACAGAACTGTTTTGCTGGGTCACTTATTCAACAGCGAGGTGGCTTTTCCCACACTTGAGATGGAAACACTGGCCTTTGTTTTTGGTCAGAGTGTGTGCTAGTTAAACTCACTTTGCTAAAAGTCAAGGTTGAAGGAAACACATACACACACACACACACACACACACACCAGGATATAGTTAACAGAACCAGCTCCAGAAGTATGATTTAATGCTAAAGGTATGCATTATGAGTCATGCTCTAGAGCCTCTGATGTATTGTCACACACATACAGGTCTTACGGTCTGTTAAACTTTTCAGCACAAAAACATACACACTAACACATTGACTCAAATGCTCCCATTAAACTGCTGCTGAACCTTTTAAAGTTTGGACAGCTGAGTCCACTATCAGCAGACACACAGAGACATGATATAGTCATCTTTCCTATGTGTGCAAGACAAGTCAAACGTGCCAAGACTAACAAACCCTGATTATTTGCTCCGACTCTTTTCAAATTACAGTTTGTTTATTATCTCTCACTTCTTATTAAATTGTGTAACATTTTTTTCTGTTGTCTTCCCTTCTCTTAGTGAATCCCACTTTTAACTTTGACCTAAAGAATCCATGTGTTATATAAGTTGGGCCACTGAATTTGAATTTGGTTTCATCTTTTTGTAATGCGAATATTTTTTTAAATTTTTATTTGAAGGTTGGCTCAGTTCAGTTGTAAATAAAAAGCAAGTATACAAAAAGAGATATATAAAATATACAGTATATTGGAAAAAAGTATCTTATGATCACCATTTATTAATTTTGAATTTGAATATTAATAATTTAGCATTTATTAATTTTGAAATATTATTACAATTTAAAATAACTGTTTTCGATTTTTAATGTATTTTAAAATGTAGTTATTCCTGTGATGGCAAAACTAAATTTTCAGCTGCCGTTACTCCAGACTTCATTGTCACATGATCCTTCAGAAATCTCTAATATGCTGAAACCTTTCTTCTTATTACTACTATCAATAGTTGTGCAGCTTAATATTTTTGTGGAAACCCTGATACATTTTTTTCAAACTTTTTTTTCTTTTTTTGTTCTGTAACATTATAAATGACTTTCTTTTCACTTTTGATCAATTTAATGTCAGCTGCTTTATTTTGTCAAATTAGCTAAATCAGTGTTGAGTTATTATGTACTATATATGTGTATGTGCTAAATACTCTCTCTTTTTCTCCCAAACTGCAGGCAGACGGGACGTTCAGTGTCTAAAAGGATGTCAGGATTGTTGTCCTGAAAGGAATACTGTCCTTCTGGATGTGGCCTTCAAATGTGAATTCTGGGCTTTGTATATGAAAAGACGCTCTGAGCCAATGAAGTATTTTCCACAAGAAAGGAACCAAAAGGCCTCCTGACTTTGTCCAGTTGGATTGATTTTGAATGCCAAGTGCATTGTGATTTTTGTCTCTCCTTCACGTGTACAGTCCATTTATTCTTTCACCTTTCCTTTCCTCCATTCACCCTGCTGCAAGGTCTGACTTTCTGGTGTGCGGGAGGACACGGTGGGTCCAACATGTCTGCCAAGGCTCCCATATATCTTAAACGACGAAGCCGTAAAGGAAAGAAGGAAAAGTTGCGTGATATTCTTTCTTCTGACATGATCAGTCCTCCGCTGGGAGACTTCAGACACACCATCCACATTGGCAGTGGCGGGGGCGCAGATGATCTTTTCGGTGACCTGTCTTTCCTACAAGGTAAATTTCATCTGTTACCAGGGCAAGGTCACCAAGGGTCATTCCAGCTAAGTCGCACAGTGAGTGTAAGCAGTCACCCGCCGTCCTGTGAGAGCTCGCCGCTCTTGAAAAATGCCCTGTCTCTTCCTATCATTGGAGGGGTGCAGGCGCTCACCCTTCCAGCCCCGACGGCCACAGCCCCTCTGACTTCAACAGCAACGGCGACCACTGAGGTCCCAACAGCACTGACAACGACCCAGTCACCCCCAACATCTCCGTCTCTCGCTCCACCTCCCAAACCTCCCAGACTGCACCTGGAAGAGAGGAACATGTCACGGCATACATCACTTCCTGCATCTCCAAATGGCTCTCCACTGCATTTGCACACAAATGGACAAAGTCCAGATCCTTTGGAAAATGAGAAGTGTGTGAAGGATGGGGATGAGGAGGAAAAGCCATTTCTGTCCAACGCTGGCTCTATGCTTTCCCTCCATCTGGACTTGGGACCATCGATCTTAGAAGATGTGCTTCAGATCATGGACAACCAGAGGACAGGGACATTCAGTGGGGGACTTAAACCTAGTGGACGACAAGAGATATATACCTGAAAGTGAACAAGAGATCACAGTCAAAGCTTGATGGTACATAAATGGACTAATCGCATTTTTCTTCATGTATCTAAACCGTTTGCCCTCTGAGAGAACTCATTTACCTGCTGTACAATTGCATTTCCTGGATATTTAGAAATTTTATGCTTATATATATAATCTTTGAAAAATACCTTTGGAAGCTACAGAATTGGAACCAATCCGAATTTAATCTGTTCTATCATTGGATTTCTCTGTGTTCAAATTGATTGTTTTAATTAATCTCTGTTCATTTTTGACTACAAGCAATACACTAATTCTGGCTACTCTTAGATACAGTTTGAAACATCTGAAAGCATTTTAGCAAGCACATTTAAAACTACCTGCAGTGTGTATGTACTATTACAGAGCAACATGCTATAGGCCTCCTGGATTCACTACAGGAAAAAAAACGGACATTTTTCTCTTTCAAAGCAGCAATGACATCCCCCCCCCCCCCTCTTCTGTGTTGTTGCAATTTGTGTAATCGGGTAAAAATGCGCAGCTCCTCCCTAATGATCTGGACACACACACATGCCAGGAGGCCTCTGTATCTACACCCTGGGATTGTAACTTTCTCTTTTTGTTGGGAGTAGTTTTCATTGTTCCAAAACAGAAACCCAAAGGCTGTTTTTTGATAGAGCAGGAATATGGAATGTTTTCCTTTCATAAAATACACTTTTTGTACTGTGTTTGGTTGTTGTTGAGGTGTCTGCAATCCCCGAGGCTTTGACAGATCACTTTTCTTAGGCAGCAGTGATTTTTCCTTGTGGTGGGGCCTTAAAAAAGGGCTTGTGTTACTTTGGTATCCCCCATGTAATTCACCCCACATGGGTTAATAATGCTCTGTGCTTCCTGTTCACAGATTTAGACCTATTAGTATTAGTATTATTTTGTCCGATTATAAATTTAAAAAATTACTTGTTACTTTTTTATTAAAGGGGTCATATGATGCTTTTTTTAAAGATCATTATTTTGTGTATTTGGTGTAACAGAATATGTTGACATGCTTTAATGTTCAAAAAACACATTATTTTTCAAATACTGTACATTATTGTAGGTCCTCTATGCCCCGCCTCTCTCAAACGCTTCGTTTTCTACAAAGTCCCTCCTTCCAACAAGCGCAGTCTGCTCTGATTGGCCAGTTGACCCAGTGCATTGTGATTGGCCGAACACCGCAAGCACTCGTCGGAAATGTAACGCCCCTTACCATAATCGCGAGCTTCATCTTTCAAAATAAATGTAAAGACAGAGCCCAAAAGGGGAACAGAGTCGTGTGACAGACACAGTGATGAAGCTGGTATGTGCGCAGTACACAAGCCACGGTTAAGACAGCTGACTCCACTGTGATGTGATCCTCTCTCTCTCTCTCACACACACGCACACGCACACACACATGCACACACACACACACGCACACACACACACACACACGCACG